GTATAAAACATACGGTTTTTCTACTGTTTACAAGTATAAAACATACGGGTGAAACTGGAAAAATATACTGTATGCAAACCGTATATATGATATTGTTTGCAGAATACTGAATATATACAGTATGTGAAAATACTGTAATTATACTGTAATAATACTATAAATATACTGTTCGCAAAATACGAAAATACAGTATACTAACCATATATATATTTTTTATAGGGATAATAGATAGCGCCTGTAACATTTTCAATTGGAAAAAGCTTAACGAAAAACAAATTATTGCAGTAAGGAACATTGTGATAATACCAAGAATCGAATACCAATTGGCAGCAATAGTTTTAAAGAAATCAGAATGTAATAAATTGATGACAAGGCTTAACATGATAATCAAAAAGAGAGCAAGCTTAGCTAGATCAACTTCTAATTTTGTAATTTATGAAAAAGATATTCTAGGCGCTAAACATATCTATGATTTACAAATGGAAATGCTGTGTAAAAATTTACTTTATCAAGCAAACGGCAATGATAAATTAAAATTATTATTTATGATAAAAATGGCTCAGAAGCAGAAAAATATCTGGACATCAAAATGTCCAGGAGAGATAAATATAGAAATAACAGAAATAATAATTGGATTTTAGATGCTTTAAAGACATTAAATAATGAAAATATAAAATTATGTAATCATGAGATTAATAATAATAAAGGAAATCATAGAATTAAAGGAGGAAAAATTGACTTAATAGATCTAATTGAGAAAAAATATACATTAACAAGTGCCTGTTTAATGAAAGCTAAAGACGTAATGCTTTTAGAAGATATTCTAGAAGTGGACAGAATTACCCTATTAAAATGGAAACATCTTTGTAAGGAAAAAGGTGTAAATACAAAAGGAAAAGTGCCAAAATGGTTTTCAGATTTAGAAAGAAAGTTATTAGATGACCAGAATGGAAAAATAAGAAAGATCAAAAACGAATATATATATAGGTCAAGTGCAAAAGAACAAGATTCATATAAATTATTTTGACGAAAATGAAAACAAAAAAAGAATTGTATAATTACTTGGAATGATGCTCAAGAATTTCCAATTTTTAGTGAAGATAAAAAAAGATCACAAAGTAAGAATCACAAAAGGATAGGGATACATCTAGAATTAGCAGGAGAGAAATATGATATGAACAATTCACCATATTTAAAAGCATGTAAAGGATGTAGTAGAAACATAAGTAAGAAAAAAGAAAGTAAAGAATGCCTAATCTATATAGATAATGAAATTAGTAAAAAATTGAAAGATGAAAAGAAGAAGAATTCATCAAACCATACAAGACTTTAAACAATATAATAAAAAAGAATGCTCGGTTAAGAAATTATACACAAGAAGAAAAGAGGGATGAGATCTATAATAACAAAATAGAAAAAATAGACAATATAATAAAAGTTGACAAAAATTTTATTAATTTAATAAAGAATAGTATTCTTGAAATGAAGAATTAATTTCAGGATCAAAGAGAAGATTTTGTTTATTAATAGACATAATCAAAAACAAATCAAAAGTTAATGAAAAAGGAAAAAGAATTTATTTTTACAATATAATTTGGAAAATAAAAGAATTAGATCTTGAGGAAGATTCAAAGAAAAAATAATGTTCTTGGCAAAACATGAATGTAACAATGAGAATGAATTCAAAATCATATTAAGAAGTATTTTAGTCACACTTTTAATATTTTGCGAGAATAGTGAAATAATTCTAGGGATAAACAAAAATGTAAATAAATTAATATTTGAATTTATTAATAATGTTAGTAATAGAAGAAAGATAGATAGTGATTTTTATTTAGAACTATTATTTTAGAAAATTTTTTAGAATTAAATGAAATTAGTTTAATAGAAGGGGACACACAAATATATAGGCTAACAAAAGATTTAAGAAAAGAAATGAGAATGATGTTAAAAGATGGAGACTATAACAAATATAATGTCACCGGCATCTGCTACATACCGATAGATGAAATCCTAACATTTACAAATATATATATCCTTGCTTGGTTTAGATTTTATCATTTATAATTTATTCAAAATTTCAAACTGCAATAATTTTCATTAGTGTATCTTTTATTCATTAATATATCATAACATTATTTTTATTTCATTAATTTATTTTAAATAGGTTCAATAACAGATGGTATTAGTATAGCTAATTTATGGGATACAACAATTAAAATATCAAATTATTTAGGTTAGATACATTTTAACATAGTTTATTTTCTTTTTATAAATAATAGATTTTAGTTATAGTAAATTTTTGTTCAAAAATCACTTAGGCCATACAAACTTGATTTTATGGTTTTCATAATATAAAAATTTCATCAATAACCCGGCAACCCGGCTTTTAATTTTTTTTTTTCAAAAATTTTATATGCGAAATTTTTTTTCAATTTTTAAAAAATTCTCACCCGGCATAGTAATAATATAAAAAATTTTTTTTTAAGAATTAACAAAACTGACCCGGCCGGACTATGAAAACCATTTTTACCACTTTGTGTCGCCTTAGTTATAGGGTTTTGGGAAATTTATTTTCACAAAGCTCTAAGTGTTTTAATATTTAATTATGTAATTTGTATCAAATTCAAATAATTAATAAAAACGCGTTGCTATTTAAAAAAAAAAAAAAAAAATCATCAGAAAATTCAAACTAACAAATAACATAATTGCATGTTTTAAAAAGGAGAAGATTATTATAGTGCAGAATATATAGCAAAATGTTGCTAGTGCTGATAGAATAGGTAAAGAAAAACAGGAAAAATGGACAAGTTGGGAAACACACAATCTAATAATATGGTCATTGTTAACAGAAATAGAGTTCATGCTTTATTAGGGATGATCACTACCAGTCAATGTTAGTCATATGATAATTAAAAACTCTAGTGCATTAGATTCCAAAGATGAAGTTCTAATTTTAGGAAATGATTGGTTCAGAAAAGTAAATGTTATTGTCAAATAGTGTTTCACATTAAAAATAGTGAAATCCAATATATGTTGGCCATTTGTACAAAATAATTTTAAAAAAGTGTGATAACCAAAATATAAGTTACAAATATTTATATGATTTGAAATATTTGACTTGTATGAAGCTGTTCATCTTGCACTTAAAAAAAAAATGCCAGTAGAAAAAATGGAATATACTAGTCAAGCTTATGTGTTAGATAATCAAAATTTTAATGTTAGTGGACAATATCCAAGTAAGTTACTAATATAGACTTTATAGAACATAGAGTCAAATTTTCGTGCTTTAACCTTCATACAGCTTTATTTAATTAAAAAAATTTTAAATTCTTGATGATTACCAAATTAAAAATGATTTTTATTCTTTTAGATACTATTTGTTAATTTGGAAGATAAAAATATAAAATTTAGCCATATACAAATTATTTTCCAGAACTTGGATCTCAAACAGTATACAAATTAAAGTATTCTATTATATAAAATTTTGAGAATGTGAAAGTACAGTATTGTTGTTTTTAAAATTAAATTTTCTCTCAATTTTTATGTAATTCATATAAACAAAAATACATTAAGAAATTTAATGTATATACATTAATCAAGATTCTGTACAATTATACACAAAACTTAAATTTCCAACACTGGTGAAAACTTGAAATCTGAAAAAAGAATGAATAACATAATTAAATTCTAGGATTTAGGATTTTTAATTCCGGAGCGTATCACTTTGTTAAATATAACACGTGATTAACTATTTTTAGCTATTTTAAGCTAAAATTGGTGATTTCCCGGCTATCTATCATGATTTAAATATAAAAAAAATAAATATTAAGTAAAATAAAATAAATTTCACGAACATTTTGTGGCTTGAAAAAATGATCAATATTTTGTATGATCAGTATCAATTGAAAAATTGTAAGTGCTAAAAGATCCTAAAGATAAGATATAAAGAATGAAAAACAAAAAATCAACAAGATGATAATAATCTAGTTTTACGTCAAAATGGAAATTCATTGATAATTTTATGTTACCAATTTGATTTGTATTTTGTTTAGAAAATATATTTATACAATATTTTATAGTTAAACTGTTTTAAAGTAAACTGAATTTACAATTTATAATATTAAATAATACTTATTTAATACTTATTTAAAACTATATGAAATATGTTTGAATTTTAATTAAAAAATCTACACAGACATATTTTACACATTTACATAAATCCATGTTGGGTCCTTAAAATTACATAAAATAGTGTATGTAAATTTTATATAGAACTTTTCATATAAATAAAAAACATCTCCTTTCACTGCTACACAAAAAATAACAATACTGAAGGTATGATAAAATTAGGATATTAAAAGATTTGCATAATTAACTCCATTATGGTTAAAAAGTATATATAATAAATTCGGATGTCATGATTTTATTAGAAATGAACAAGTTCAAAATACATCACATTTCATATTTATTTTACATTTTTATCCCTTTAAACATGAACTCTTGTTTACATTTACAGTATTTGTTATGGTCGCCGTTTTTCCCCATGTTTTAACTAAAATTAGAAATTTTATTGATTTCAATTTTTTCGGGTTTTTGTTTCATTGATCTGCTTATTTGCCATTAGAATTTTTTGAAATTTTTTTTTTTCAAATTTATTAATATACAAAAATTAGGAATTACGTAATATAGAATTCATTTATTGTAACTTTTGACATCTATTTTTATCAAAAATAGATTTAATTTTTATATTTAACTTTTATTATTTTTTAAGCATATGATAGTTATGATACCCAAAAAATTTTTTAAAAAAAAATTCTTTTTTTAATACTATTTGTGTATTTGTAAGTATATTTGTGAGTATAATAGGATTCTTAATTTATAATAATCATTTATTATACTATGTATCGCCAAATTTCTGAGAACATAAAAAATTACTATTGAATGTAATTATTACAATTAAATTAGTATAACGATTTTTGTACACCTATATAATAAGTTTTATTTGTAAACATACCCATTTGTCTACCAATTTCATTGAAGAACATACTGATAAAAATAATTCTTATAAACTTAATGTAAAAATAAACAAGCTTAATTTTTTAATTTTTGAAAATTTTTTATTTTATTTTATTTAAATAGAACCCAGAAATATATATATAGGGGTCAGGTGATGAAAAGAAATTTTTTAATACGAGCTGTACACATTTTTTCAGGGCCGGAATTATGATAATGTCAGTCAGTTACTATAATAGGAAATAAAATTCTGATTGGTATTATTAAAAATTATCTAAAAAAGGAAAGATTTTCATGATTTATTATAGTTCAAAATACGCTAACCCAAACCTGACCCTTCTATATATATTTCTGGGTCCTATTTAAACAATAGGATGTTAAAATACATAAATTGATTGAAATTTTGCGTATGTCTACTATACTGAAACACGGTGAAATTCAACACATCGGACCAATCTTGTTTCAATAGAAAACTTTTTTTTAGAATTTGAGTATAATGCAGATCAGTGCATCGGAAAAAATATGACCCGAAAAAAAAAATCATTTATTGTAACTTCTACTTTTGGTTAAATATTCCCTTTTTAGTAACTCATTTATGGCATATTGATTAAAAAAAAAAATTTTTTTTTTTTAATAATTTCTAAAATAACCAAATGGAAACTAACCTTAGTAATTTAAATATCGATACTGATACAATAAATACCAAAAATTGTTGTAAACCATTTACTAAAGAATTATGGTGTAAAGAATGTATTAATTCTTTAGAAAGATCAGCAGAAAATGGTGATAAAGTAGAAATATTTAATTTAGCCAATAGATATAGAGATGGAGAAGGAACAGAAAAGAATTTAAAAAAAGCCCTTTATTGGTATCAAAAAGCAGCAGAAAAAGATCACATTGAAGCAATTTTTAATTTAGCCAATAGTTATAATAATGGAGAAGGAACAGAAAAGAATTTAGAAAAAGCCTTTTATTGGTATCAAAAAGCAGCAGAAAATGGATATATTAATGCAATGAATAGATTAGCCGTATATTATGAAAATGGAATAGGAACAGAAAAGAATTTAGAAAAAGCCTTTCATTGGTATCAAAAAGCAGCAGAAAATGGTGATAAAATTGCAATGTTTAATTTAGCTGTATCTTATAAATATGGAATAGGAACAGAAAAGAATTCAGAAAAAGCCTTTTATTGGCATCAAATAGCTGCAGAAAATGGTTATACTGATGCAATTAATAATTTAGCATTATGTTATAAAAATGGAAAAGGAACAGAAAAGAATTTGGAAAAAGCCTTTCACTGGTATCAAATAGCTGCAGAAAATGGATATACTGATGCAATGTTTAATTTAGCCAGTAGTTATGATTCTGGAGAAGGAACAGAAGAGAATTTAGAAAAAGCCTTTTATTGGTATCAAAAAGCAGCAGGAAATGGTAATGGAAATGCAATGAATTATTTAGCCATGTGTTATGAATATGGAAGAGGAACAGAAAAGAATTTAGAAAAAGCTTTTCATTGGTATCAAAAAGCAGCAGAAAATGGTAATAACATTGCAATGTTTAATTTAGGTACATGTTATGAATTTGGAGAAGGAACAGAAAAGAATTCAGAAAAAGCCTTTCATTGGTATCAAAAAGCAGCAGGAAATGGTGATGAAAATGCAATGTTTAATTTAGCTATATGTTATAAAAATGGAGAAGGAACAAAAAAAAATTTAGAAAAAGCCTTTTATTGGTATCAAAAAGCAGCAGAAAATGGCAATGAGAATGCAATGTTTAATTTAGCCAATAGTTATTATTATAATGGAAAAAAAACAGAAAAGAATTTAGAAAAAGCCTTTCATTGGTATCAAAAAGCAGCAGTAAATGGTAATAAAAAAGCAACATTTAATTTAGCTACATGTTATAAAAATGGAGAAGGAACAGTAAAGAATTTGGAAAAAGCCTTTCATTGGTATCAAATAGCTGCAGAAAATGGTCATACTGGTGCAATGTATAATTTAGCCAATAGTTATGATAATGGAGAAGGAACAGAAAAGAATTTAGAAAAAGCCTTTCATTGGTATCTAATATCTGCAGAAAATGGTTACACTGGTGCAATTAATAGTTTAGCTATATGTTATAAAAATGGAAAAGGAACAGAAATGAATTTAGAAAAGGCCCTTCATTGGTATCAAAAAGCAGCAGAAAATGGTAATGAAGTAGCAATGTTTAATTTAGCCAATAGATATTATATTGGAGAAAGAATAGAAAAAAATTTAGAAAAAGCCTTTCATTGGTATCAAAAATCAGCAGAAAATGGTTATAAAGATGCAATGTATCGCTTAGCTATATGCTATAAAGAAGGAGAAGGAACAGAAATGAATTTAGAAAAAGCCCTTTATTGGTATCAAAAGGCAGCAGAAAATGGTAATGAAACAGCAATGTTTGATTTAGTAAAATGTTATAATAATGGAGAAGGGACAAAGAAGAATTTGGAAAAAGCTTTTTATTGGTATCAAAAAGTAGCAGAAAATGATAAAGTAGATCCTAAAAATGATGTTGAATTATGTAATGAATGCAAGCAACCATATACTGATTATCAGTGGTGCCAACAATGTAATACTAGACGATTTCAACAAGATTTTTCAAAGTGGACTAGTAAAAATGAATTTATTGATAGATTTATTCAAGAAGCACAATCAAATGCTAAAAATAGTTATGAAGTTTTAGAATGGATACCTTATAATAAATTGTCTAGTATTGATTATTATGATAAAGGAGGATTTAGTGAAATCCATAAAGCTATCTGGTTAGATGGACCTATTTATAGTTGGAATTTTAAAAAACAACAGTGGAATAGAGAAATAGATTATGAGGTTATTCTTAAAATACTTAATAATTCATCAAGTTTAAATAGTAAATTTCTGGATGAGGTATAGTATTTATTTTAATAGCAATTTTATTTTCTTTTGCAAAAAATATATTAATTTTTTTTTCATCTGTATAGTGGAAATATCATTATAATTGTCAAAAAAAATCATTTTCAAAATTTATTCAATTCTTTGGAATTACTCAAGATCCAAATAATTCAAATTATATAATTGTAATGAGTTATGCGAAAAAAGGAAGTTTGAGAAAATGTTTATCTGATATAATTAAATTTAAATGGCAGGATAAGCTACAATTATTGAAAACAATTATATTAGGACTTAAAGTAATTCATGAATCAAATTTAACTCATGGTGATTTTCATGATGGTAATGTTTTAATATCAGATAATTACAATGAATTATTTATTATTGATTTAGGACTATGTAAACCTATAAGTGATTCTGGTAATAAGGTTAATGAAATTTATGGAGTTTTACCTTATATGGCACCTGAAATATTAAGAAATGAGCCCTATACTCCAGCAAGTGATATTTATAGTTTTTCAATGATGATGTGGGAATTTACATCAGGTATTCCTCCATTTAATAATGAAGCACATGATCTTGAACTTGTCTTGGATATTTGTAATCAAGAAAAACGTCCTGAAATTATGAAAAATACACCAAAATGTTATATAGATTTAATGAAAAAATGTTGGGATTCAAATCCCTCCAATAGACCAACCATAAAAATGCTTGAAAATATTGTATCTGAATGGATTAGATGTATTAATAAATATTATGAAATAAACAGGGATGGAAATTATGAATATCAAGTGTCTATTATTGATAATCAATTAAAAGATGATATGTTTGAATTTGTAGAAGCAAACAAAACTTTAGAACAAGAACAAGCAAATACTTCTATTATGCAATCTCATCCACAAGTATATTATATAAGTCGCAAATTGACTAAATTTACTGAAATTTTTTCTCAAGAAAAGTCCGAATTCATAGTTCAGGAAATTATTCAAGAAAAGTCTGAGTGCTTTGAATGTATAGTTGAAGATTAATATTCTTGTTATTTATTGAATTATTTATCAATTATAATATAGAAAATATTTATATGATTATGTAATTTACAATTTTTGAATAAAATAAATATTATTATTTTTATTTCATTATTTCTTATAAATTATAATGATTATAATACATTTCACCTAAGTCTGTTTCGCAGAAACTGATTTTTCAAAGTCATTTTGCTAAAGGGAAGTTTTAGAAGTTTTGCAGAAGAGGCATTTGCATTTTGCTGACTACTCCTCTACTGAATCATTTATTTTGTTGAAAGACATTTTGCCTAAAATGTTAGTGATTGATATATTTCTTTAATTAAAAACAATTTAATACAATGAAAATATAAATTTAAAAGGACCCCGAAATATATATGGAAAGGTCAGAGGCAGCCAAAAAATTTTTACTAATAGCTGTACACATTCTTTCAGGGCCGGAATTATGATAATTTTGGTGAGTGACCAAAAAGGAAATATCTTTTCACCGGAAATTATCTAAAAAAGGAAAGATTTTCATGTTTTTTGGCTAGTTGTACGCAAACTTGGATCTGACCTTTTTATGTATATTTTGGGGTCCTGATATAAATAGAATGTGATTTTGTTATTTGATGATAGTGTTACCAAAATTTTTGCTTAAGATAGAATTATTTAAAATTATTGTTAGGGTTACCTATGGAAATAGTTAAATAAGTTGAAAATTGAACAAGTCACATGATGTAGTGCGCAGAAATCCCATGATTATGGCTGAGTTTATTACAATATGAAACATTTCTTATAATATATTTTAGTTTTATTAGTTACTTACATTAATTAACCATTTTTAGTATTATTATTGCTTTTGACTCATAAATATTCAAATATAAGTATCAGTTTAATTATTACAATATTAGTAAATTGCTTTAGTTAGCTAGAGAAGTTTCTTGAGATTTATAGACATGTGGAACTTATACAAAATGGCAATAAAAAGATTTTTGCAGATAATTGCAATAAGGAAAGGACAATTGATTGACTAATCATATTAGTATAATAGGATAATATTGATAAGTTCAAATGTGTGAAAATGTAAACAATATAGAGCAATATTTTCTTTTGAATAAAAGTTGTTAACACCTGAGTAGATCTAATAGAGAGTTTAGATTGTGTTATCTGAAGTATTGTGTTTTTATATGATTTGTTTGTTAGTTTTTTTTGCAGTAAACTTTTCATGTGTTTTACTTGTTTTACTTTTATGTTGTCATTATTTGTTCAATAGATTTTTATCTTTAAGAAACTCTTACATTATTTACCATCATTATTAATTTTCTACTAGGAATTATTAGTGATACCCCTATACTTCGTTGCAAAATTATCAAAACACCTATAATCTTACTATTTGACCCTTTTATCACAACTGTTCAATTGACATCTCTGACGTTAGTTATCACTCCAGACCAAATCAGTGATAACAATGATAGTATATTTTTGAAGTTGCATCACTTGCATGACTTTCCTTATTTATTCACTTTTTGCTTAATTTATAGTTTGTCCTCCAATCTTAATACATATTTTCATCTTTTTGGAAATGTACCATACTACCATGTGAACTTCATAGTTGAATTTTATACTATAGCTAATAGTTATATAGCTATAAACATTGTTATTGCAATATTGCTTCTTTGATATCATTAGCAAAATATTCATTTTTATGCCACTTTTACTACATATTAACTTGTGGAATCAAATAATAAGTTTTATATTTGTATTTTGATTTTGTTGATTTTTATTGATCTTCAAAGAAATAAATAAAGTTTTAAATATATTTTTTCATTAAAAAATTAAAAATGTGAAGATGATCATGTAGATCTTATAATAATCAATTAAAAAAGTGTTAGATAAAAATTTTTTTTGAAATTTTCAAAAAAAATAAAAAAGTAAAACATAATGAAATTTTTTTTACCTTTTTCTATTTGTAAGACTAAATATTTGGATATTAAACAAGAGGTCATTTTCATGGGGAGCTTGACATACTTTTGAAAGATCTTTTAAGTGGAAGTTATTGTAAAAAAAAAAATGACCAGTGATGGGAGATGAAAAGGAGTGATAGAAAGATGAAGAGGAGTGATGGGAGACGAAAAGGAACGATGGGAGACGAAAAGAGTGATGGAAAGATGGAGAGGAGTGATGGGAGACGAAAAAGGGTGATGGAAAGATGAAGAGGAATGATGGGAGGCAAAAAGAAGTGTTGGGAGACGAAAAGGAGTGATGGGAGACGAAAAAGAGTGATGGAAAGATGAAGAGGAATGATGGGAGGTAAAAAGAAGTGTTGGGAGACGAAAAGGAGTGATGGGAGACGAAAAAGAGTGATGGAAAGATGAAGAGGAATGATGGGAGGTAAAAAGAAGTGTTTGGAGATGAAAAGGAGTGATGGGAGACAAAAAGAAGTGATAGGAGGCGAAAAAGAGTGATGGGAGACGAAAGGAGTGATGGGAGACGAAAAGGAGTAATGGAAGATGAAAAGAAGTGATGGGAAGATGAAGAGGAGTGATGGGAGACGAAAAAGAATGATGGGAGACGAAAGGAGTGATGGGAGATGAAAAAGAATGATGGGAGATGAAAAAGATTGATGGGAGATGAAAAAGATTGATGGGAGACGAAAAGGAGTAATGGGAAGATGAAGAGGAGTGATGATGGGAGACGAAAGGGAGTAATGGAAAGTTGAAGAGAGACGAAAGGAGTGATGGACCTAATAAAAAACGTTTTTGCGACGTTTTTTGTTAAAATAATTAAAAACGTTTGTGAAAACCATTTTTTTTATAAAATTATTATTAAAGAAACAGTTTCGCAATATTTTCTATTAAAACAATTAAAAAATGTTGCGAAACTGTTTTTTTTATTAATAAAAAATGTTTTCGCAACATTTTTTTTGTTAAAATAATTAAAAAATGTTTCAAAATATTTTTTTATTAATCACTTATTACATGTTAACACAACATTCTTTAAAAAATAAAAAATTTTTTTTTTTGTGTTATAATGAATTGTGAATTTGCGGTTGAAGTGTTTTTTTTTAAATTTAGTGAATAAAAATGATCAACAAAATTAAAATTCTACCAAAAAACCTACAATTTGATGGTTAAACTTAATATGACATAAAAGTACCACAGGAAGCTCTAAATCACAAAATTGTGGTTTAAGAATTCTGTCCCTATCCTGTCCTGTCCTGTCCTGTCCTGTCCTGTCTTGTCTTGTCCTGTCCTGTCTAGTACTATTAATAAGTACTATAATACTTCCGGAAAAAAATTGTGCAGATCATGCCCATATTTTGATAATGACAAACTAACATTGGCCGATCAAATTGCTAATACCAAAAATAGGATCAACAAATTTTCATACCAAATCTAATCTGATCAGCAAATTGAATTCCAAATTTATTTTTGTTTTTCATTTAAACACTATAATGGTGTTAATAATTACAAATTCCTAAAAAAAAAAAAAACTCTTTCCCCAAAATAATTAAAACATAACAATTCCGCAGTAAAAATGAAACATTTTTTACTCAAGTTTTTTTATTATGGAAAGTGTTAGAACTCTTATTAAAATAGCTGAAAATAGCTTTCAGACGAAAGTATATGAGCAAGAAATATATTTAGTACAAGTTTATCAAAGTTTTATAAATTACTTTGAAAGTCTAGCTTCTTCATTTTTTACAGGTCGTGATACAGAAGTTCAACGTAGAATAATACAAAATAATTTCGGCCTAAATGACGAAGAAATTAATAGCTGGGAAGGAAGGGCTTCTCGTTATAAGATGACTCCAGAAAGCTTCACTTTTTTTCTGCATATTGCTATGCTTTCCGCTTCAGAAGGTCTTACCGCAGCAGAGGCCCAGATACGGAAATGCGACGAAACTCTATCAGGGGCATTACAGCAAGAAATTAGTAGGCGGGAAGAAGCTGAACGATTAATGGAGTTAATACCAGGGTCGTACAAGAAGTCCAAGTCGAGAAAATCGAAGAAATCAAAAAAATCGAAAAAAAAGATTTCAAAATCCCAACTCGATTCCTCACATCATTCTGAGTCAGAAGGCTTTGATGATGATGTAATTACTTTTGAACCTAGAGGGGAAGTTGATAGTGATGATCAAATGGATGATGATCGAGATTTGAATATAGATCGGTCGATTTCTAAGACTAATGTTGATCAAAATCGGATGATCGCGGAATCATCTGGTACACAACCTAATGTTGATCATTCTCTTATGGAAATTATTCCGGTCACAATAACGCCATTGATAATTGATGTTACACCTCAACCGCAGCAAGTAACACAACAAGAAACAACAATGACGAATTTGACAAAATCTTCAAATAAAAAAAAGAAGTCAAATAAAACTTTAATTCAAAATGTAATTACTGGTCATACACCTACCGATGATGATGCATCGCGAGTCAGAGACATTTTGGTTTATGACGTTCTGGTATCCTGGACTCCTGAAGACATTCTGAAGGAACTAACTTTATGGGGGAAAACTATTTCTTTACAGACGAAGCCACAAAGAAAATATCAAACGCTCCGTTTGAAAATAGAATTAAGTACCTTTCGGTTAGCCCAATTCGAAGTTAATGAAGATCCGGTATGGANGCTATAAATCCAGTTAGTAGAAAATATCAATTATAAACTTATAAGTTTTAGACATAAATTTATAATAAATTAAGTAATTAACTATAAATTTGATGTTGATTTTTTCTGAATTTCTGAATTTTAATGACAAATCATATTTTCAAAAGTTAATTTTAATGACTTTTTTATATCAATCAGCCTTCAATCAAATATTATGAATTTTTGCTGAATTTTTATTGAATTGTCAATTTTCAATAAATCTGAAGTATATATTTAAATATTGGGCAAATTTTAGATTGATTTGCCATTTTGTCCAATTTTTTTTTTTGATTTCAATCAGCATCAATTAGCTATCAATCAAATATAATGAATTTTTGCTGAATTTTTATTGAATTTTTATTGAATTGTTAATTTTCCATAAATCTGAAGTACATATTTGAATATTGGATAAATTTTAAATTGATTTGCTATTTATCTATTTTTTTTTTTAATTTCAACTAGCATCAATTAGCCATCAATCAAATATGATAATTTTTTGCTAAATTTTTATTAAATTTTCTGATTGGTATCAATTAGATATGCTGATTTGAAAAAAAAAAAAAACTCTTTCTCTGAAATAATTAAAACATAACAATTCTGCAGTAAAAACGAAAAATTTTTTACTTTTGTTTTTTTATTATGGAAAGCGTTAGAACTACTATTAAAATAGCTGAAAATAATTTTTTGACTAAAGAATATGAACAAGAACCATTTTTATTACACACATATCAATATTATATACAATATTGTGAAAGTCTTTATTCTTCATTTTTTAAAGGACGAAATACAGAAGTTCAACGTAATATAATACGGAATAATTTTGGCCTAAATGATGAAGATATTAACAGTTGGAAGGGAAGGGCTTTACGTTATCAAATGACTCCAGAAAGTTTTACATTTTTCCTGCATGTTGCTATGTATTCCACTTCAGAAGGCTTCGCCGCAGTACAAGCTAAGAAGTTGGAAAACGACAAAAGTTTATCTATGTTATTAAAACAACAAATTAAAAAGCGGGAGGAACTGGAAAGACAGCTGGAATTTTTACCTAGAAGTTACAAGAAGTCCAAAAAATCAAAGAAATCAAAAAAATCAAAAAAAAAGATTTCAAAAACCCAACTCGATTCCTCGAATAATTCTGACTCAGAAGAGTTAGATTATGACGCAATACCTTTTCAACCGAATTTAGAAGCTGATGATGATGATCTAATGGATGATGATCGAGATTTGAATATAAATCGGCCGATCGATAAGTCTTCTGATGTTCAAGATCGGACGATCGCAGAATCATCTGGTACACAACCTAATGTCGATCAATCACTTTTGGATCACAATCTGAACACAGCCACACCCTTAATAGTTGATATTACACAGCCGCAACATGTAATACAACAAGAAAATATGGACGTGGATTTGACAAAGTCTTCGAAGCAAAAAAAGAAGTCGAATAAAAATTTGGTTAAAAATGTAATAACTGGACATATACCTACCGATGATGATACATCGCGAGTCAGAGACATTTTGGTGTATGACATTCCGGTATCCTGGACTCCTGAAGATATTCTGAAGGAACTAACTTTATGGGGGAAAACTATTTCTTTACAAATGAAGCCACAAAGAAAATATCAAACGCTCCGTTTGAAAATAGAATTAAGTACCTTTCGGTTAGCCCAATTCGAAGTTAATGAAGATCCGGTATGGACTACGGATTTAGGAGGGATACCAGTACGATGGTTTCCAGCAAGGTGGACTCTCAAAGAAAGAAAACAACGTGAGAAGTTCCAAGCTACGATTCATAAGATACCAGATTCAATGACTCTAGCAGCCTTATGGACTGACCGTCGCCCACATTCTTTCCTTTCTGCGATAAAAGGATTGAAAAGTTTTAAAATTATACAAACAGCGAGAGGGGAACGTAAGTTACTTGGTTTTTTCGAAAGGTGGGTTGATATGCGCGCAGCATTAGAAAATCAGGTAATTTGGGAAAATTATAATCTGTCATGGAATCGGCACGCTCCTCCGATGCAACCAACAAGGTCACGTGGCGGTGACGCCAATAAGAACCGTAATCAAACTTCAAGAAGTCAGAAGACTGAGAAAACTCAACAGAATTCGAAGAATTCCAAGAAGAAACCAGAAGAGACGACGTCCAAAAAGCCTGATGGACAAAAGAACAAAAAGGACAAGTCCTGTAGTAAATCAAAGGATAAAGTTTTAGCAGAAATTTTAGATTTGCTGCGTAAATTAGTTTAAAGATATTTTTATTAATTTAGGTTTTAGAATTTATTTTTCATTTATTTTTTTTCTTATTATTTCTAGCTTGTTAGGCGGTAATTCATTTGGTAGTTGGGAGTTATTCTAGCTTATTGGGTGGATTTTCTGCTTTACGAGTGGGAGTTTAGTCTTTTTTTGTAATTTGTTCGTAAACGTGTAGCATCGTAGGTATACTTCTACGTGTTTAGTTGTATACTTAGATTTTTTGTATGATTCGTTGCCACCGAGTTTTTTGGACTTACAGGCCTATTATCTACAAAATTAATAAAAATCGTCTTTGTGACGTCATTAGCTCCACAAAAAAAAAAAAAAAAAAAAAAAAAAAATAATTACAAATTCCTATAAAAAAGAAAATCTGTAAAATGTATTGAAAAAATGGAAATGTTTGGAAAACATCCAGACATGTACAGAAAATGTACCAAGATTTTGAAACAACTCAACTTTTGAGTCATTTCAAATTTGGTACATTTTCTGTACATACCTGAATGTTTTCAGTTTTTTCAGTACATTTTCTGGATTTTCTCTTTTTATAGGGATTAAATAATTACAAATTAAATTTATAACTTATAAGTGTATTTCTTTTTAAAAAATAATGGTTATATTTCATAAAAAATATTTTTTCTTATTGTTTTTATTTTATTTTTATTTTTAAACTACTTGAAATTATAATTAATGAAAGAATTAATTTAAAATTCATGCCAGGTTATTTTCAAATTTTTGTCATCTCAGTTCTTAATAATTTTTATATTACATTTAACAAATATGTATATAAACAATCTTTATTTTTTATATGTTAAAAATTTTTTCAAATTAAACCTTCTTTTTCCAAATACACTATAATCTTACATCTTAACTTTTATAAACTTAGGCATGATATTTATTATTTTTATAATAATATTAACACCCAGATTTTTTTCTATTTGCATACTTTTACTACTTTAGTTAAATAAAACCACCATTTTGTGCCTATTAAAGTACCATTATTCATAAGGTCAAAAATACTTGTATTTCAACTTCATAAAGTTAAATAAATTTTAATAGAAATAATTACAATTTTTATGATGATACTATTAAACTCCTAAATTTTCTTTTTTCTGTTTTCTAAGTTCATAGTGTAATAACTAATAACATCACTTTTGCCAAATGAAATTAACTTTCTTTATTAATTGAAAGTTATTCAAAGAGGTAAAAATTACTTATGTATTAATTTTCATGAGTGTAGGTATAATAATTGTGAGAAGTCATGCTTTTTATAATGGTACTAACTTTTTCTATTTCTTACTTCAGAGCATAATTTCACCATTTTGGTCAAATGAAAATGACCTTTTTTATTAATTGAGAGTTGTTTAGCAGGTGTGAATACTTATATATTAATTTTCATGAATGTAGATGTAAAACTTGGAGAAAATTACATGTTCTTCTCTGTTCTTTAATTTAGAGCATAATATCTCCATGTTGGCTAAATGAAATCAACTTCATTTATTAATTGAAAGTTGTTCAGGTGGGTTGAAACTACTTGAATATTAATTTCCATAAATATAGGCATAGTACATGAAGAAAATACAATTTTCTTGATGATATTGACTTTCTTCTCTATTTTTTAATTAAGAGTGTAATATCTCCACTTTGGTCAAATGAAATAAACTTCTTCATTCATTAAAAGTTGTTCAGGTGGGCTGAAACTAATTGAATATTAATTTTCATAAGATTTCATTTTTTTGCAGCTGTATTAACTTTGGAACACTTCATTAGGTGTCAGATATTGAGAATCAGAATTGATAAAAAATTCGTATTTACCAGTTGCATTAAAAGTTTGAATGATTCTTTTGATAAAACAAAGATGAAATAGTTCAAAATCTATATTATTTCATATATAATTTTTTTGTGAAATAGATTTGTCTTTTTTCCTCAGTCCTCACCCTTTAATGTTCACATTAGATTAAATCAATCTTATTATTTTGAAGATGTTGTCAGATGTTTTGGTGTAATTCAAGATCCAATTACTAAAAATTATATTATGGTTAAGTATATTTGATTATCTGAAATTGCAAAAGTCATTCAAGAAATATACTAGTTTTTCATACATACAGTAAGTGATTAAGAATGTGTCAACCAGTAAATAGTAGAAGAATTAAAATTATGGAGTATTACCTTATATTGCACCAGAAGATTTACCTAGTCATCAATGCGGATATTTAATTATTTGAAATTATAATAGATGAATTTCTTTCTAAAAAAAATTCCTTATAATAATATTTCTAATGATGGATTTTAAAATATGTAAAGGAATTAAACCAAAATTTCTAAAGATATACCAAAATTATTGCAGGTTTGATAATGAGATGCTTGAAAGAGAAAATAGGCCAACCATTGATGGAAGAGTTACATCAGATATTAATGAAATTTGTTTCAAATAAAAGAATGTGATAAATTGAAGAAAAAAAATTTAATAGTGGATTAGGACAAATTTAAAAATATTCAAACACAACCAAAAGTAATTTATACTTGCAGACAGTAGACATTAAATTACAAAATCTCCAAAAACCAGTAAATTATACTGTTTTTAATTTTAACTTGAATAAAATAATTTTACTTTCAATTTAGCATTATTTTAAAATCATAATTTTAATAAGCATAGTGTTAACTATAATATCGGCAAAGATATAATACTATGTTCAAATGTTCAATAATTCAACATAAATATTCTTTATATAATTATAACATTATGTAATGCTGGTTGAAATTTTATAATTGACTTATACTTGGTGCTATTTCTGCATATCTAGCATATCATTATATTATTTAGTTAAACGAGTAAAGTAAAAAATAGCAAAATATTCTTTCATGATTAATTTTAATTTTTTTTGAAGTAATTTAAACGAAAAACTTACAATTATTCTTGCCATCATATTGATATAACTAAGAATATATATTTATAAAAAGATTAGAAATAACATTAGACAGTATATGGTAATTTAGAAAAGTTGGAAGTTTGCCTTCTTACACACAAATTATTAATAAAATATGTGATATAAAATTTTATTAGACATATTCTGCTGAGAAAAATATAAATTGATTTATGTAATATGTGATACAAGAGCTTTCCAATAAAGGAACACGATTATAACTTTCATTACGAATATGTGCTCATTAATATTGAATGCATTAATAAAAACAATAGTTAACAAATTTCGGCTTTACAGTAATAAATACTGACAATACTTTTTTTGTTCAAAATAACTTTAGTCAACATATTTCATAAATACTTGTCATAACCTTTGTAGCAGACTCAGTAATAAATGTCGTATAACTAATAAATTTTTTATTGATCTTTAATAATTTTAAACATATGGCAAACAACTACAAAAAAAAAAAATAAATTATTTCCTTTTTTTTATTCCGTGAAAATATAATTCCAACTAATTAATGGTAAACATCGATCCCAAAAATGAATATTTAAATCGATAATAATATACACTATATATACATGCCAAATTAACGCCTGTTTTCATATCTATAATTTATCATCCGTCCAATGTAATCATGTAAACGTGAATTTAATATTCAATTATTGTTAACTCAAAGTTGCAATTGAAAGTATAAACTATAATCATTATGATCATTATTACATTTTCAAAATTTTATTATAGAAAAAAATAGGTTAAATAATTAATAGTAAAAAAATTGTTAATATATATTTATATAATAAATAAAGATATTAAATACAAAACTTTTATAAATCATAATGATTATACTTTTAAAGGCCAAGGCCTAAATTAAACTTATTTAACGACGTCATCAATTTCATAAATTTCGTCAAATTCGTCGAGATCTATAAAAATAAATACATAAGAACGACGGAGAGGATATTAATAATAATAAAATGAAAATTTAAAATGTTTTGCCTGATTCACTTACAATTGACAATCAAAACATTTCGAAACTAGAAAATTAAATAAACAATAAATATTATTGTATAAATATTACCATATGATTACGCAAAAATACTTACTTAAATTTTCTGTTGGTGATTGGACAACATCTATTTAAAAGAATAAATAATAATTAATAATTAATGAAAATAAAAATTTCATAATAAAAAATTAAATTTTGCAAAAGTTACTAAATAATAAATCTGAAGAATTTGTTGGTTCTGGAAGATTATTAAAATTTAAAAGTCTACTAGTATAAATTGCTTTTGGATGTATTTGAATATTTTCAGGTTTATTGAATCTACTCTCATTTGATCCACTTATTTTTAATTTGTTTTTTCTAATTTTTTCACATTTTTACTATTTGTGAATGAATTTCACTATTTTTATTATTTCTTCATTATAAAATTTTTTTAATATTTGATATAACTCTTTTAGTTGTTGGCCTATTTTTTACTTTAGCATCCAAACATTTAATAATTAAATCTGAAATTAATTTTGCTGTATCATTAGAAATTTTTGTCGAAGTCCTTTACATATTTTAACACCTAAAGAATAATCATGAGTAATATTATTATAAGGAATTTCTTCTGTCATAAATTCATTCATTATTATTCCAAATGAGTAAATATCTGCTTCTTTTGTGTATTGAACTATTGTTGTGAAAATCTTTATGGACTTTTCCTACATTATGAATATTTAAAAGTCCTCTTGCAATTTCCGATAATTTACCAATTTTAAAACTTAAATTAATATATTAAGATTGGCTTAAATAATTCCTTAAATTTCCATGCTCACAATATCTAACAACATTTTCAAAATAAATAATAAGATGGGATTTAACTTAATATGAATATTAAGGGTAGAGAAGAAAGCAAAATAAAATATCGTATTATTAAAAAAATAATAATAATTATACTTATATGACATGTATGAGATTTCGAATTACCTCATTTAGAAAAGCTGCGCCTATATCAGAAGAATTATCTGTTATCCAAACTTTTTAACGCAACTGTAAAATACGAATCTCTTATCCAACACCTGATATATCCTTCAGACTATTCAGTATAATAAATTTTACCAAGACCACCACTTGTAATATAAGTAATATCTTCAAAATTATTATAAGGTATCCATTCAAGACATTTCGTAAAATGTAAAGCATTAAGTTGTGATTGTTGAATTAATTCATCAATATTTTTATTTCCACTAGTCCAATTTTTAAAATTTTCTTTAAATCTTTTAGCATTACAAGGTCGACACCATGAACTTCCTGTACCAGGTTCATTACATTTTCCACATATTCTATACTCGTGTTCTTTTTTCTAAATCTTCCATATAAATTATTTTTTCATCTGTATCTTCTGATTCAGTAGTTGAACCAGTGGTAACATGAAGCTTTCAAATTAAAAAAATATTATCATCGTTAAAAATTAAATAAATATAATTATACAACATAATAATAAGAAATAAATTTTTTACATGATATTTTCTTTTATCAACAAGCATCCATAAATCCTTGGTTGTTCTTTGGATTTCTTTTTTGATCATTCCATACTAATTTTGTTTTGTTTTTTTTTTTAATTATATTTATTTATTAAATATTATAATAATGTAAAATAATCTTATTTACCTCAATGATAAAAATGATAAAACGAAAAATCGAGTCAAATTTATAATTCTGAATTTAATACTAATATATTTTAAGTTTTTGAGCTAAACATGATATTTATTTATTATTAGTGCAATACATTCTTTACAACCTGATCGTTAAATAATTTTTACGCCTTACGACTTATGTTAACCATATACTATCTCAATCAAAATATTTCTTGTCATTGCACAATAACAACGTATATTCTTTTTTTCGTCAATTTAATTTTTTTTTTTCCAATCAAGAAACTTGGGAATAAAATCCTAATTTATAATTTTTAATTATCATTTATTTCCTAATTTAGTTAAAATCTGGACAAATGGTCGACCACTAAAATGCACTAACCAATCATGTTATAGTTCGTGTCTACTTTTTCAATTACAAATATTATGATTAATAATCAAATTTGCGAGAAAATGATTAATCGCTAAAACATACATTTATTATCTATGTTCTTAATATTTTTAGATAGAATTTGACCCCTTAAGTAGTGAATGTCATCAGGGAATGGCTATATATATTTTATGATAATTAAAAAAAATTTCTATATTTTAATTAGTAAAAAAGAGGCCACTCATTGCGAATTTATTTTCCACATTATTTATGATATCATTCAATCTTTGGTGGTGAAGTGAAAGTTTATTTTCAATAGAATTAACAGTGTTACCAAATTATAATAAGAAATGGGTTTTGGTCTTTTGGATTTTATGTAAGGGGTGTCATCATGAAGCAATAGAAAAGAATTTTAGTTATGAAATTAGTGTAGAAAATAATGAATTAGTAAGGAAAAGTGAGAAATGTAATGTTTGTGGAAACTGTACGAATTATTATTTTGTATAAATATTCTGCATTTAAATTTGAAAATATATTAATAAAAGATTATTTGATTATTATTATGAAACGAAAAAATTCAAGTGAAATTTTTGAAAATCCTAGTAAAAAGGTAAAGTAAATTGTGAAATTATAGATATTTGCGATAAGTACTATTTAATATTGATAGAAGAATACAGAATTAAGAGGAATGAAAGCTTACAGGAGTACATAATGAACTAAAAAAAAAATATGGTACAAAACAAGATAAAGTGAGCCAAAAGATGGGTGAAAAGAATGAATAAGTAAAGGAAACGAGATGAAGAATACGATAATGAAATAACAATTATTGAAGAAAAAAGTTAAGAATTTATTGGTCAATGTAAAAAATTATTTTGGTGGAGAAATAGGAAACGAACAAATAGATGCATTTTTGAGCAAATTACCTAATACAGAAAATAATATGATTAGATTGTGTGTTTTACTTTTCGTTGGAAAAAGGGTTACAGATTATTGTAGTCAAGTGGAGAATTTTTGACTATTCTTCGAATATGTTACCGTCAAACGGGAATTGAATAGGCTTTATTTTTTAATGTATTACTTTTTTGATTCCACAATTTTATTTAATTTTTATTTTTGTATCTTTTTTTTTATCAAATATAATAAGTGTAGTATGCGAATCATAGAAAAAGTAGAAAATTAGAAAACATAGGAAAATATTAAAAAATTAAAAAATTTTGTAAAAACATTTTTTTTTAGTTTAGTAACTAAACGAACAAATTATTTTAGATTCATCAATTAGAATTTAAATTTTATTAGTCAATTATAATCATTTAGATAGACTGGTTAGTTATAGCCTTATAGGGTTATTGATGATTTATTATCAATACCTCTATGTATTTTAAAAATTATGTAATCTTTTCAAGACTTAAATAATTAATAAAATGCGTTACTATAAATTAAAAAAAAAAAAAAATTCGAAAAAACTGATATCATAATTCAGGTAAAATTCATAATGTTAAATTATGAAGATCGATTTACGAAAGGTATTATCCTACCCGGATTTCGGTTTCTATTCGGATTTTTATCCGAACCGGATAATCCGAATAAAAACCGCCATAAAAACTGGATAATTTTTTAAATTTATTCGAATAACGTATTCTATCCGGATCGAAACACTAATTACCGGAATATAATATTACCAGTTACTTGCAGTTACTTGATGTAGAAATTTAAAATAAAAACTATTTTATCCATTCATGCAACTTTGAGATTAAATAATCAATTTTCATGCAGATGAGTGACTTAAAGTTCGTAACACCCTACCGGGAAGTTTCTGTATACGCTAATAAATTTGCATAGGTCAAATGTGCATCATTGTGAAATAAATTCTCGAATAATAATACTAAGTGTAACGCTAAAAATTTAAATACCGTAAAAATTTTTTTTTAAAAAAATAATAATAATAATTAAATATTATTTTTTAAAATATTATTTCTACTAATTTTGTGGGTAATTTTGCTGATATTAACGGATTTGGCCAAAATTTCGCATAAAGTTCGATTGAAACGTTCAACTAGACCATTTGTCACTTACTAATTAGGATATAATCATGTCAAGAAATTCTTCAGTTTATTTTATATTATGGATATTACTTCAAGTATTATTATTAGTTAAAGTAAATTGTCAACCGACGCCCTTTAAGCCAAGAGTATATAGTTGTCATACTGCTACATTCATTGACAATAAATTATATATTTTGGGCGGATTGGATTTAAACAGTAAAATGCTAAATGAATTTTTTTATCTTGATGTTTCTGTACCATTTAATACTCAAGAATTATCGTGGTAAGATTTATCAAATATTAACATGGTTCCAGAACATTTTCTTGCGACATCAGTTAAAGGTGGTACAAATAATGATACACTATTTTTATATGGAGCTTTTCAATCAGAAACATTGGTTTATACGTTTAATTCTCGTAGTCTTGTATGGAGTACTCCAACAATAAGTGGGAAAGTGGACATGCTCCCAAGTGTCCAAACAGACCCCTCATCAAGAGATGTTATTTTTGAGCAAGAACTTATTAACGTAAGGAGGGGGAAAAAATACGGTTTAACAGGCGTTATTGATTATAATGGAAAATTTTATTTATGGGGAGGAGCGACCAGCAATATTACTTTAATAAATGACATGCTTGTTTTAGACACAATAAATCTTAATTTGGATGGAGGAAGTTTAATAAATAAATTGCTTATTTCAGATACAAATTATACAGTATGGATGAGTTGGTATGGTCCAGATCATGTATCTAATGTACCAACTCCAAGACGTGATTACAGTGCCACTTTAATACCTAACAATAAAATTATTTATTTAGGTAAGCGATATAACTTTTATGTATTCCTTACTTGTGTTTAATTTATTTTACTAATGATCACTCATTGTTTAGGTGGTATTGGGATATTGTGAGCTTTGAGATTATTACTAAAGGTACCACTTACAATTTAAGTGAGGTAAATTTATAAATATATAAATTTTTTTCTAAAATCAATTAATTAAGATAAATTATTTTTAGGTTTATATATATGATACGATTAATAACAGTTGGGATACAAAGGTAAGTTATAACTACAAAAATATATAAAAAATTTTAAATTGTAAATTAACTAATGATTTTAAATCTAGATAACATCAGGAAATATTCCTTCTGATAGAGGCGCGTTTTCCACTATTCTTGGTATGTAATTAAATGAGAATATTAAAAGTCTATAATGATTATTAAAAGTTTGTATATATATTAATTATAAATGTAAATTATAATTTAATAGGTTTGGATGGTCAAAGAATCATAATTTTTGGAGGATTTTATGATTATCCCGGATATTTAGATACTACACTTTATGTATTAGATTTAAATAATTTTAATTGGTATATTCCAAAAATTTCTGGTAAAATCCCAAAGCCTAGAACCTATCATAAAGCAAATGTAATTGGAAAATATATGGTTGTATCATTTGGTAAATACAATACTTTTACGTTAGTATACTTTTATTTAATTTTGTTAATAACTAATTTTAATAAAAAAAAATTTTTTGATTTAATAGGAGAAGGTTATGATAAATTGATTGAAAGTGATATATTATTGCTTGATATTAGCAATAATGAAGAATATATATGGACAACAATGTTTGATCCAAAAATTCCATCACAACCACCATCACCATCACCATCACCATCACAATCACAATCACCATCACCTTCGCTATCACTTTCGCCTTCACCTTCTTCTCCATCATCACCAAATAATTCAGGCAATATAGCTGGAGCAGTTGTGGGATCTTTATTAAGTGGTATTTTATTATCAGTTGGTGGTTTTCTAATATACAAATGGAATAAAAATAAACGAAAGCAGAAAACTATTCATAAAAATGAAAATGATAATGATTACAGTCGAGAAGAAAAGGAACTTCCTATCATAAGAGGTATTCATAGTTATAAACAAGAGATCAATAATGATGCGCAAGAAATTATTCAAATACCTGGAAATGAAAATACGACCAACCATGAACCAATAATAATTTCACCTTCAATAATTAATAAGAATAGCTATCATAAGCAAGAAATCGTTTTATCGCCAGAAAATGAAAATACAACCAACCATGAATCAATAATAATTCCAGTTGATGATCATCATGGGCAAGAAATTATGCGAACGCTTCAAAATGAAAATACAACTAGTAATCACGAACCAGCAATTTCGCCTTCAGCAGTAGTTAATACTAATAATGATAATCATGGGCAAGAAGTAATTTCATCACAACTTTTAAAAGATGAAATTATTCAAGCTATTAAACAAGAAATTGGCCAAAATTTGAAAAATGAAATTCTTCAAGCTGTTGAAAAGAATTTTAATATTACAAAAAATAATGCATAAACTTATTTATATTTGAAATTTTGTAATGATGAAATAATTTTTTTTTTAAATAACGTATATCTTTAACAAAACTGAAAATTTTCATGCTTTATGTTTAGCATCACTAAAGAGAAAATTGATAATAATCACTTCATTCTTTTTTAAATTATTTCATATAAAAAAAGGAATATTTGCATTGACTTGCTGCATAATAATTTAGGTCAAATTTATAGTTTCTAATTTCAAACATTATGTATAATGCTTCTAATAAAGTTTTAGTTTAATAATTTCTTCAAAATAAAATTTCATTAAAAATAAACTAAATTCATGAATTAAAATTTATTATTAGAAAGAAAAAGATATCATAAATACATCTGGCTAAATAATACTTTATTAAAACAACCGGCTCGAATTTCGACCCTAGTTTTTTGACCTTCAATTTCACTTAAAGAAAATCGACTATACTTTAAGGGGGAGGAGGTACTGTACATACTATAAACACTGCATTAATATTTATGGAAAGGCGAATAAGCAGTCAGTAGTGTGTAGTAGTTACACTCTTTCTAATCCAATAATTATTATTATCCCAGGCTGTAAGACAACTTCCTAAAATTTGATACTCGATGTAGTTCCGGTTTGTGAAGTATTCGCATTGTTTGAACCCATTCCTGCCAAAATATCATTGTGTCGAGAATATACGCATGCAGCATGCTAGTATTACACTAGGTTACGATGCAAATTTCACTATGTTGAATAACTAAAGAAGAACTTAGTAAATTCCATTATGGTACGTACGTTCGTATATTAAAATTTAATTAACGTATAACGAACGAACCAAAATTGAATAATTTTAGATTATTCTCAGTTTCAAAATTTGCAAAAAAAAATGTTTTTATCCTTTCAGGACATTTCAATTAACTTATAATTCCTCCATGTTTCACGTATGTTGAAGGCTCGTTAGTTCAAGCAATATACTTATGGAATTCTTTGAATGATGTATATTTATTATCGTGCTCAAGCTTAAAAGTAAATACTATAAGTAAATCAGAAATTTAAATCTTCCTAACTAGTTTTAAGTGATAAGTAAGAATAAAATAAAAGATTTAGGCATGGAAATTTTAAAAGAATATAAGATCTTGGTTATTTTTAATTTTTAAAATGTATAAAACGAGAGAAAATTATCAAGTTTTTAATATGAAGTCTAATAAAATAAATTATGGGTCAGCAAAGCTTAGGAATTCTTTGCAACATACAATATTTTAGGCATTTTTCTTGAACGTATAGAACATTTTCGGATACACTCATACATTTTATTACGTAACGGAATTTTCTCAAAAAGTATGTGGTATGATGTGGCTCTTTGCGCCACATCAGATCATTATTAAGCGTAACTTATAATAATCATTAAGCATGTGCAAAATATCCTAATAAACTAATTGAAATAATACTCTTAAACGTCTATTTTTAAAAAAATTATAAATTATACCGAAAAAACATACAACTTTTACTAAAACCTTCTTATCATTTCAGAAAAATGTGAAACTCCAGACACGCTCACACGCAACATAACTTAGTTGAATAAAAAATTCCTTTAAAATGGGTGGTTTCCAAGGCGGGTTAACTCCGCATTAGAAATTACTAGTAAATCTTGAAATCATTTTCCTGCGCCGTTAAAATCAAGATACTAATCATTGTGATTTATTAAGCTTTTGTTGATATGATATAGATAACAAAAACTTGTATGAAACAATTGAAACATATGAATACCATCGTTTCTCATGAGTCATTATTATTTACATTGACGGAGTTACTCAAATAAGATCCAATAGTATCAATATAACATGTCAAAATCTTATATAAACCCACTGTCTCCAAAAAATTTCCGTAAATTATAAGCTTACTGACTAAACCTTTTTACTCTAAACATCATTTTCCCTATTAGTTTCCAACGTTTGTAAAGTTTTCTCAATAAAAAGAAGCCGACTACTCCACTCTTGAACCTAGATATATTGTACACTGCCAATATCGTATTTATATTTTTAATAATATTAACATTTTTTTTTCTTTTTTTTAAATATAAAAGTAAAATAATAGGTACCGATATTTATTTTCAATTTCTCTAAGTTTTAACGCGATTAAGCTCTTTTCAATATTAATATAGGTTATGTCAACCACTAGCATTGTAAAATATAAACTTAAAAAGCCTTATATAATTGTATTTGGTTTTTCGGATTTATAAATTAGGTATTTAGATAATTTTCAAAGCGCAACAGTGCTAGTTGGTTTATAGATAGGAGTGTAAGTATTCTACATGAAGTGCTAGTAACCTCTCTGTATTTTACACACTCAATATTAAGATCTTTTACATTTTTTTAAGATTTAAATTAACACAAATTGCCGATTGAGATTCCTTTCATAGACCACAAGCAACTGTAGACGACCTTGGTTTATTGGAAACGTGATAAACCCATAGCATATGCCCCTGTCTTCCGGCTGGTTGACCATTAATTTGGTGTGAAGGTTGCAGTCTAGTTAGGATCTCAATGAGATAGTTACTAGAATAGTTCGCACAATAATTATAAAACGTGTCACTTTACGAATCAACCATAATGATAAAAATTAGAACCTTTGCAATTATCATAGATGAACATATAAGTTTTCGGATACCTTATGATGCTTATCGACCGTAAAAATGAAGTTGCGATTAGACATTATACAAGCCTTTTGGAGATTGGATAGTATTATATAAAATTAAGGTGAGCGTTGAATTTTTAACTTTTTTCCTTCCTTTTATTGTTTTGGCATGTACATTTATCTAGGTTAAAGATAAAAAATACATATAAGGACCATCATAAAAACTTGTGCAATAAATAAGTTTTTTGATTAGAAAGAATATTAAAATCTTTATCTGTTAGGCCGGGCAAAAAAAAAATTTTTAGATTCTCGTGACATAAAATTTTTAAATGACTCGGCCGGCCGCCATTTTTTTTTATATATGTAAAATTTTTTTACGCACATTGGCCAAAAACTTAAAATCACGTGATAAAAATTTTTACTATAATAAAAAAAATTTCCATTTTTCGAAAAACTGACCCGGTCGAGTCACGAGAATCTAAATTTTTTTTTTGCCCGGAATTTGTACTATAAAGGAGATATGATGTTTTTTTCTGAATTAATAATATTTTTTATTTACTTATTTATTTTTTACTTCAAAATTACAATGGTAATGGTGATAAATCATGAAATTTTCACATCGATTTTTTTAACATTTATAAAAAAAAAATAAAAATATCTTTAACATTGCATTATTAATTGCGGTTGATTAAACAATAATCGTATGAAACTATCGTACCAAACTTAAACTGCAAATAAGATATCACGAAATGGCCGGCATTACGCAATTTGACTGAAATTAAGTTTGGCACACAATTGGATTTTGTTACTAAAATTTCCGTGTACACCGGTGATGAAAAAGTCACGTGAATTTTCATAACATTGTGCTAGTATATAATTGCCTTAGGAACATTACTATTCTATGGCGCGCCGATGTGGACAGATTGGTATTTTATTAATACCAACTCCTGCTATTTAAAATAATACTAGCACTTGTATTTTAAAATTACTGAATTTGCCTAAAATGGCAATTCCTTTTTATATTATTAGACAGATTTGTATTTGTTTAATACCAAATTTCTCTAATTAAATATTACCAACTCTTGTAATTTTAAAATTAGTAGATCTTTTTTCTTTAATAGACAGATTCATATTTTTTTATTGCCTCNAGGGAAGAATTATCTTTCAGATCTTTGCACTTGCAGGTGAAAGGTGGGAATACTGACAATGATGGAGCAATTCTAGCCAGTTCGTTATTAGTATGCTTCAATGATTTTTAATCCCTTCATATTGACAATTAAAGGATAACAATACACAATACAATTTCAAGCGAAAATATACAAACTGTTGGGTTCTTGGGTATGTTCAGGCGACTGGGCGTTATTACAATACAGTAATACAATAAATCAGCAGTTTGTGTAATATTCCGTTTTTCCAAAAGTTATTGTCGCACAAAAAACGATTATTGCCATTTTCAAAATGGTTTAAATTGATGTCTACGTCAAACACACGACCGAAAGTCACAATACTAGAAGTGAAAAAGAATCCTCTCAAAATACGCCTCAAAAAAGAAAAAAGTCATCACAAGAGGTCACTACCCTAGAACTTGAAAGATAAATTGTTTTAGTAGAAACTTATAGCTCTCCAACTAATAATTTCGGTGATAATAATAAACGTCATAAAATTTCTAACAACAGAGATAATGAAGATAAATACTAACACGATGATCCAACTCAAATTGAAGACTTCAATAATATTAATTAGAAGCCACAAATTACATCACTAAAAGTGTCAATAAACGATAAACCCCGGTATGCAGGTCAATAAATCTCCAAATAACGTGACTACACACAAAATCTGATAACACCAACAAATTTTCTACCACACGTGACCTAAAAGGAATCACCCACCGCGTTTTCACTGTCTATATTTATCTGAGAGACTGTTTTTTTTTGCCTCCCAAAAATTTTTTCACATTCCTTTAAACGCCACCGGTCACGTGGGTAGAATTTTAATTATAAAATTGTTGGTGATACAACGAATTTCGAACACAACCTGTCTCTTATACACATCTAAAAATATAAATCTGTCTGGTAAAGAAAAAAGATCTGCTAATAAAAAAAGGGGATAATAAAAAATATAAATCTGTCTATTGAAGAAAAAAAGATCTGCCAATTTTAAAATTACAAGAGTTGGTAATATTTAATTAGAGAAAGTTCGTAATAAATAAATATGAATCTGTCTAATAATGCAAAAAGAAATTGCCATTTTAGACAAAAATCTGCCACTTGCAGTAATATTAAAATACATGAGCTGGTATTATTTAAATAGTGGAAGTTGGTATTAAAAAAATACCAATCTGTCCACGTCGGCGCGCCATACTATTCATATCTGCTTTATGTCAACAGTATTTGATATAAATAATAGGTAGTGTTCCGAAAGGGTCGAGTCGGGTCGGGTTTTGAGGTGTATTCGAACTCGACCCGAGTGTAAAAGTAACGACTCGGATTTGACTTGACCTGATTATATTCTGACTCGGATAACCCGGGTTCGACCCGTAAGTTGTATTTAATATAAAAAACTGAAATTTTTAGTTAAAAATATAATAAAAAGATTCGGGTCGCCAGGTCAAAGTAAAGGTATAACTCGACTCGACGGGTCGGGTCGAGTTCATGCGGGTTACGGGTCATCAAATCATGCGACCCCAACCCGACCCCTAAATACGATAACCCGGGTTTGACCCAACCCTTTCGGAACACTAATAATAGGTCATCCATTCCTATCGCTATCTTGTACAATTTACTTGAATGGTCGAAAAAATAAACTCATTTATTTATCAATGAATATAGAGATTAATTAATACGTATTTACGTCTTGTGATCAGGTAGTGATACACATTAGGTAAACAAAATCCATTTTTTAATTTGTTTTAAATGATGAAAACATGAGAATAAATTTAAAGTCAAATTTATAATAACTAGTTTTATACACATATCTTATTGATAAAAATTTTAACATTTATTTGGATTAGTTGTAATACATCGGACCTCGCTCATGATTATGTAATTATTCTGGATTAAGAAACCTAAATTATAAAAAAGGGAGCCATATTTACTTTGGCAGGTTCAATATTAGTTTAAGATGAAGTTTAATATTTATAAAAACAATCGGGTTTGAAAGATAAAAATATGTGCTGTCAGATGTTTGTAAATTATTCACGCATGAATTAATATTATATAGTCGATGATAAAACCGTATTAATCATTTTTCTCGCATACTAACTAACTACTTTTTTAGTAACTGTACTGATTTCGCCATTATATACTCAGAAAAGTATATATTATACTGTATATCATGGACACAAATAATTATTTAGATACGTCTCTTAAAACTCTCTCAAATGTTTTTCTTTCTTGCTTTCTTGTCTAATAACATGGATAACTTCTATAATGAATTTAATCAATTTAAATCTAGAAATGTATGGATAAACAATACTTTAACAACTAAGGAACAGATATTGAATGCAAAAGGAAGAAGTTATGACAATACCTTTACATTAACTGAAAATATATTAAAGTTGTTGCAAAGAAAAGGGATATTATGTTATAGGGTCAAACCGGTCAAAGTCTCTGACTTTAATGATGAATTGGAAAAAAGATTGGGGTATGATACTTGGAAAGAGATAGTGTGTATTTTCAATAGGAAAATAAATACAGAAAAGACCTTTAAGATTCAAGTTGCACAGCATTCTGAGAAATGCCCTAAAAAAATCTTCATCCTTTACTTCTGTTACGCCAATAGTTTTGGCGGTTTGGAGCAAGTCTATTGCAAAATCAAATGGACCATGATATCCATTGGGCCCTGTGACCTGGTCGGAGCTCAAACTTGCCTTTGTATAGGTTTGCACCAGCAACCAAGTATTGAACACACATATTGCGATTTCGATGCTTCATTTCCATTGAATGGAATGTCTTGAGACGGGCCTTTAGTTCAGTTATAAGATTTCTGGGTATTTCCAGGGAAGAATTATCTTTCAGATCTTTGCACTTGCAGGTGAAAGGTGGGAATACTGACAATGATGGAGCAATTCTAGCCAGTTCGTTATTAGTATGCTTCAATGATTTTTAATCCCTTCATATTGACAATTAAAGGATAACAATACACAATACAATTTCAAGCGAAAATATACAAACTGTTGGGTTCTTGGGTATGTTCAGGCGACTGGGCGTTATTACAATACAGTAATACAATAAATCAGCAGTTTGTGTAATATTCCGTTTTTCCAAAAGTTATTGTCGCACAAAAAACGATTATTGCCATTTTCAAAATGGTTTAAATTGATGTCTACGTCAAACACACGACCGAAAGTCACAATACTAGAAGTGAAAAAGAATCCTCTCAAAATACGCCTCAAAAAAGAAAAAAGTCATCACAAGAGGTCACTACCCTAGAACTTGAAAGATAAATTGTTTTAGTAGAAACTTATAGCTCTCCAACTAATAATTTCGGTGATAATAATAAACGTCATAAAATTTCTAACAACAGAGATAATGAAGATAAATACTAACACGATGATCCAACTCAAATTGAAGACTTCAATAATATTAATTAGAAGCCACAAATTACATCACTAAAAGTGTCAATAAACGATAAACCCCGGTATGCAGGTCAATAAATCTCCAAATAACGTGACTACACACAAAATCTGATAACACCAACAAATTTTCTACCACACGTGACCTAAAAGGAATCACCCACCGCGTTTTCACTGTCTATATTTATCTGAGAGACTGTTTTTTTTTGCCTCCCAAAAATTTTTTCACATTCCTTTAAACGCCACCGGTCACGTGGGTAGAATTTTAATTATAAAATTGTTGGTGATACAACGAATTTCGAACACAACAGATACACAACAAATACGTAATTCTGACGTTCAGATGATGAAACATTAAGCCATAATCTAACAATATTAGGGAAAAAACCAGAATTTTATGCGTTTACATTCAAAGACTTCTTTCCTAATCAAGACTTCAACGTTATTCAGATAAGAATTTAATGGATTACGGGTATCGAAAGAAGTGGAGTACAAATTCTAAAAATAGGATTTGCCAGCAGATTTTCGTTTCGCGAAATTTGTATCTAAAGTTTTTTGTAACAGTCTTGTCTTCTAATCTTTATCTTAAAATAACAAAAAGAATTTGTCATAACGATTTTTCCCCAATGAGTCAAGCACGATATACAATTATACATTACGTTTACTAAATTTAATAAATGTGATTAAAAATTTTTTTAAAAGTCGTAACGACTTTGATAATAGATTCGTGACGATTTGTTGGATTGGTTGAAAAATAGATCGGTGAACGTCTTAATGCGCAGGCGCAGCAACAGCATATGGACTAGATTGTATCTAATAAATTATCCGGTTAAATTATCCGGTTAAATTACAGCTGATTTCATAATGTACCAATCAATTACACTTTGGATCCAAAAAAGTGTATCACGTGATATTACATAAATCATGTGTTCGTTATTTTTTCAATTTGCTGAACAGGCAACTCTCGGCGTAAAAATTTGCCAAGTGTCCTGTACATTATGAAATCAGCTGTAATCGGTTAAATTAATCGATTAAATTAACCGGTTAAAATATTTGTAATTCTGGCCAAATTTACAGTGCCGGCCAGAAAAGTTTAGCCACCAGGTAAGATATCTACACATGCGTGGAATTTTTTGTGTTATATAAAATTCATAATGTGGGCCGAAATTCATAGTGCCGGCCAGACAATTTTGGCCTGAATTTCGTCTTTCAACTAGAGTTTCGTTTCGATTAGTTAGAGTTTTGGTCTGGCCTAATTTTGGCCGGGATTAAAAATATATTTGATGCTAATCCTGGCCGAATTTTAATGCTGACTAGGATTGAGTTTTAACCGGTTAATTAACCGGTTACATTATGATAATATATTTTTTTATTTATTTGTTTATAATAAAAATACAATTAAACATAATATCCAACAATTTGTATATTAACACTTGAAATTTGTATTGTATAATGTCATCCTCAATTTCGATTTTAACGATTATAATTCTTGCACTAAAGTATCAGTCACAATTGACAGTATTAACAAAGGGCCGATGAAAAGTTTATGAGACCAATCAGAAAAATATTGAAACATAAAATAACTGAAAAATTTTATCCGTTATTTCTGTAAAAACTCCGTAAAAATGAGCCTTTCACGGATTCATTCACGGAAAATGTAAATAATTTGGTAAATTCCGTGATATAAGGCTATTAATTCCGGAAATATGAGCCTTTTACGGAAAAAAGATGGAATATAAAAAATGGATCGACATTTTTTACAGGGTCTAGAATTGTTTGAATTTTTACTTTAGGACAAAGATGTCTTTTGACTAATAAATATCTATAATCAATATAGAACATATCTCATTATTCATTAAGTACGCAATCTGCACTTGGCTCAGGCAAAAAATTTAAGTGCATAATGTTACGCCAAGAATTTTTATGCACGGCGTATGCAGTATAATTACAATTTCGATAGGCTACGCAAATTTAAGGTTAGTGTGACTGTAACACAAAGTATTTTTATAAATAATCAAATAACAATTGGCCATAACTTTTTACTTTTTTGCGCTAGTATCAAACAAAAAAATTATTATTATTATTTTTTTTTCAAAAAAAAGTAAGGATGTCCTTAAATAAAATTTCAAAAGAAGATGAAAATTTCTTAAAAGAATTTTTAAAAGAATTTTATCGACAAATTATAAAGATAGAGAATTATACAAAATATGAAAATATTTTAATGGAATGGATAAAAGAATTTTTTAATTATAATGAAAAGGATCTTAAAAAAATTTTAAAATTAATGGAAGATCATGAAGAGAAAGAAAATTGGTTTTCAAGTTTGATAGGATTTTTTTATGAGTATGGTATAAATAATAATGATGATGATGATGATGATGATATTATTATTGATAAAAATAAATCTTTTAAATTATATTTATTATCAATTAATAATTATGAAAATGATAAAAATAATAAGAAATTGATTTCTATTTATCAATTACTTAATATTATTATTTCAAAATATTTATTATCATTTTATTATTATAAAGATATTTTATATAAAAGAAATATTATCATAAAGGAATTTAAATCTTTGGAAAATACTCATGTAATGTCTTATAATTAATTTGAAAATTTTAATGGATTAGAAATAAATTTATGTAAAGATGAAATAAATTCTATGGAGAAATATTTTGAATCAACAGATAAAAGTTTTAACGATTATGATAATAAGAAGGAGCTAATGGAATTAAATAATCTAGGTTACTGTTATCAATACGGAATAGAAAAAAAGAAAGATGGGTTTAAAGCATTTAAACTTTATTTAAAGGCAGCAGAAGGAGGAAATTCTGATGCACAAAATAATTTAGGTTATTGTTATCAAAATGGAATTGGTGTAACAAAAGATAAAAAGAAAGCATTTGAATGTTATTTAAAAGCTGCTAATGAGGATGATTTACACGCTCAATATAATTTGGGTATTTGTTATCAAAATGGAATAGGAATAAATAAAGATAATAAGAAAGCTTTTGAATGGTATCTTAAATCAGCTAAAGGAGAGTATTCACCAGCACAAAATATATTGGGTAATTTTTATCAAAATGAAATTGGAATGGAAAAAGATTTGGAACAGTCTATTTACTGGTATAAAAAAAGCAGCGGAAAATGGAAATAAATTCGCACAATATAATTTGGGTAATTTCTATAAAAATGGAGAAAATGGTTTAGAGAAAGATGAAAACAAAGCGTTTGAATATTATAAGAAATCAGCTAATCAAGAATATTTAAATGCCCAGTTTGAACTTGGATACTGTTATGATGAAGGAATTGGTACTAAAATTTATAGAGAAAAAGCATTTGAATTATATAAAATTGCTGCTGAAAAAGACCATTATATGTCACAATGTAATCTTGGAATTTTATATGAAAATGGTAATGGTACAGAAAAGGATTTAAAACAAGCTAGTTATTGGTATAGCAAAGCAGCAGAAAATGGATGTGAAAAAGCATGCTATTATTTAAGTTTTTTCTATGTACTTGGAAAGGGAGTTGAAAAAGATATTGTTAAAGGTTTTGAATATCTTAAAAAATCAGCTGAAAAGGGATACTCTGATGCTCAATTTGAACTTGGTTATTATTATTATTATGGAATTGGAACAAAAAAAGATTTAAGTATGGCTGTTTATTGGTTTAGTAAAGCAGCAGAAAATGGATGTAAAACGGCACTACATAATTTGGGTGAATGTTACGAATTAGGAAATGGTGTAGATAAGAATGAAATTAAAGCATTTGAATATTATAAAAAATCAGCGAAATATGGAGATATGGATGCAAAATTTATACTTGGTTATTGTTATGTAAATGGTATTGGAACTGAAATCAATAAAGAAAAGGGATTTAAATTGTATGATGAAGCTGCTGGTAATAGTGATTATAAGGAATATGAAGAAGAAATTGTAGATAATTTGGATGAGGTTAAATATTGGTATCAAAAAGCTGCAAAAAATGACAATAAATATGCATTATACAAATTAGGTGAATTCTATCAATATGGTAATGGTGTTGGTCAAAACGAAATGAGAGCATTTGTATTTTATAAAAAATCAGCTGATCAAGGATTTATAGATGCTCAATATAAACTTGGAGATATTTACAGTAAAGGAACTGAAATTGAAATTAATAAAGAAAAGGCATTTGAATTATATGAATTAGCTGCAGAAGGAGGAAATGTTAATGCTCAAAGAAGTCTTGCATCTTTATATGAAAAAGGCGAGGGAACTGAACAAAGTAAAGAAAAAGCTATTTATTGGTATGAAAAGGCTATTGAAAATGGGTGCCCAAAATCTCAAGGATTGCTAAATGTTCTAACTCAGTAAATGGCAAAACCAAATTTTTGAATTTCTAAATATTTTTAACAATAAAAGTGCATTTTGCAAGTTTCACATATTATCAACAATATTTCCATTTTATATTATGTTTTAAGAAATTAGAAATTTTCAAGTTTAACAAAATTTCTAACATTATTTATTTAGTTTGTTTACCGGTTTTTTCCCCTTAAATCAACATTAAAATTACATTTATTTATTATATAAAACCCTGCATGAGCCAGCTCATGAGGCCAAAAGTACTTTAAAAATATATTGTCTCGCAAGCTAATATATTTAAAGTACTTTTGTCTCGTGATCCGACTTGTGCGGAGCTTTAATTGAATATTTATTCTCACCTAATTTATAGATTTCTTTTTTATTTATTGGATATTTGGTAGAATTAAATAAAACTAGGAAATGTATTAAGTCTGAAGCTGCTGTTAGTTATATAGTAATCGCATCCTGATATGTTTATATAGTACCACTAATTAAGAAGACTAGTTATACAATGTCAAGATCAATACTTTGCATCAGTGTTACAAAAAAGGAGATATATATAATCAAAAAAAAAATGATGACGTAAGTGGAAGGAAAGAAGGAATATTACATGGGTTAACTACCAAATCATCTAGTGCATAACAATAGAATGTCCTTCGCTACGTTCTAGATAATAAGAGAATAATGACCATTTGTTATTTTTCTATTATTTAATATGAAATATTATTTGCCAGTCACTTCTATGACTCATTATATGTTGTAGATAGCACGTCTGAAATAGTCGATATTTTTTTTGATTGAATTTATCACGTAATCCGGCACTGCGGCAACTCCAATTTTATCTTGTGTAACATTTAACTTGAAAAAAAAAAAAAAAATTCGCAAAAAAATTCAGACTTTCAATATTTAAGTAACTGTATAGTAAAAAAGAAATAAAATAAATTTTTTAAGTTTTAAATAGTTTTAATATTTTATTACCTAACTAAAAATATAAAAGTTTGTGCTATTTATACAAAAAAGTCTAAGTATATAAAATTAATATATATAAATACTTTAGTACTTGCTAAAACAAACTTTAAAAATTTCAAAGAAACGTAAAATATTAATATTTATTCTTATAATATATATAATAAAAATAATAAAAAGAAATAAAGACAGTATATATATAATATAGGTTTCCAAGGTTTCCAAAAAATAAAATGTATTTGACACGAAAAAAAAAATTTATTTATATTGCGTCAAACACAGCCACATCACGGATCATGTGCCTGAGCTAGATGTGGTGCGGCGCATGACTCCCATGACTCCCATCATCCCATAACTCCATTAAATGATTAACGCATTTCACGTTTTATACTTGCGTAGTTGCTTTTTTTTTTTTATAAAAAGATCAGTAGCGCATTTCTTTATTAAAAAATTTTGAAATACTTAATAATAACAAATTTAAAACAAACAGTATGTTGTGTGAACGAGCCTTTAAATCCTTCAAACATACTGATTTATGATATTTTATAGTAAAGCGAAGTATTTGGGATTAACTAATAAATGTGTGAGGTGTCATTTAGAAGTCGAATCATTAAATCATATAGGAAAATGCTCTCAGAATATAATTACAGAGTGGCAGTCCAGCTCTTCCAGCTCCAGCTCTACCAACATATGAACAACTAAAACCATAATAATCACAACAACAGTGGTAGCGGCAAATGTATCAGAAGTAGCATCAACAGTAGCAACAGAATTTAAAATACTTGGTGGTTTAAGTTTAACTTTTCTAGTATAAATATAACTTTATATTGTAAATGAACAAATTCTTTTATTTTTGTAAGGTAATTAATGAATAAAATAAAGGGTATCGTTAGTTAAATTATGCAGTTCTATTTTCCAAATTTATGATTAAAAACAAATATTACAAATATATGTATAGTCGAAATTACGTTCTGATCAAAATTTAAAAAATATCGTTACATCAAAAATTATACATCCCGTTGATGAAAATTTTATTGTTGCTATTTATAAATATACAAAGAAATAACCCTTTATTTTCATCCTATAATTTTGAAAATGAGCGATAACAATTCACACCAATTTAATTTATATCCCATAATTGAATTAAAAGAAATAGAAATAATGAAATGTCATTGTTCAGAAAATGACTCGAAACAACAAACTATCTTTTTATCAAAATCACAAGATATCAATCATCTAAATCAAAAGGAAATGTGGAATAATGACAAATAACCCTAGACCAATCCTATTTGTACGTAATCAAATTAAACTTTATTTGACTTAATTAAAGACCATAATATCAACTTATTCTTAATAATGTAAATAACTAAAAAAAGTAGTATGTAAATAACGAGTTATCAAAATAATAAAAAAAATGTGAAAATAAAAAACATTTATACTAATTAAATCTAAACGTCCATTATCTAAATATTTTTTTTTGCCAACAATATCACTATTTATCTTCACCCTTTTCAAGCAATAATGCAAGAGATTTTTGTGCATTTTCATGTCCTTCTTCAACTGCTTCTTTATACAAATTAAAGGCCTTTTTTTTATCAACATCAACTATAATTCCGTGAAGAAAATAATATGCAAGCTTATATTTACCATTTGCACATCCTTTTTCAGCTGCTAGTTTATAAAAATAAAATGCCTTAATTTCGTTTTGATTAACACCATTCCCTAATTCAAAAATTTCCCCTAATTTGTATAGTGCTACTTTATTATCAATTTCCGCTGACTTTTGATACCAATATTTAACTTCATTTATATCAAAATCCATTTCTTCACCTTTTTCATAAAAAAAAGTTTTTAGTAAATCTATTGCATTATCATTCCCTTTTTCTGCCTCTTCGTATAACTCGAATCCTTTCTGTTTATCAATTTCTGTCCCAATTCCATTTATATAACAATAACCAAGATGAAATTTCGCATTAATATAACCTTTTTCAGCAGATTTTTTATATAATTCAAATGCTTTAATCTCATCCTTATTTATACCTATTCCTAATTCATAACATATACCTAAGTTATCATATGCAACCTCATCTTCATTATCCGCAGCTTTATGAAACCAATGGATAGCTTTTTTCAAATCCTTTTTTGTTCCTTCATTTGTAATATACACAAATCCAAGATTATTTTGAGCATTTACATATCCTTTTTCTGCTGATTTTTCATAACATTCTAATGCCTTTATTTCATCTTTTTCAACTCCTATTCCAAATGTATAACAATTACCTAGATTATATTGTGCTATTTCATCTCCTTTTTCCGCTGCTTTAGTATACCAGTAAACAGCCATTTCTAAATCTTTTACTATTCCTTCCCCATTTTTATATAAAATTCCCAAATTATTCTGTGCAATAATATGTCCTTTTACAGCTGCTATAGAATATATTTCAAAAGCTTTCACCTTATCAACTCCAACCCCAATTCCTTTATCATAACAATATCCAAGTCTAAATTGAGCATCTAAATACCCTTTCTCAGCAGATTTTTTATAATATTCAAACGCCTTAGTTTCATCCTTTTCAACACCTTCACCATTTTTATAACAATTACCCAAATTATATTGTGCTATCTCATTTCCATACTCTGCCGCCTTGTTATACCAATAAACAGCTAGTTTCAAATCTTTTTTTGTACCTTCACCAGTTTTATATAAAATTCCCAAGTTATTTTGAGCATAATTATGTTCCTTTTCAGCTGCAATTTTATATGATTCAAATGCTTTTGATTTATTAACTTCAGTTCCAATTCCATTAGAATAACAATAAGCAATCTCAAATTGAGCATTTAAATATCCTTGTTCGGCTGATTTTTTATAATATTCAAATCCTTTAACATTATCTTTCAAAATTTTTCCATTTTCATAATAACATTTACCTAAATTAAATTGTGCTGATTTAAATCCATTTTCTACTGCTTTTTTATACCAAAAAATAGCTTTTTCTAAATCTTTTTCTATACCTTCACCACATTCATATAAAATTGCTAAATTATTTTGAGCATTATTATGTTCTTTTTCAGCAGCAATTTTATAAAACTCAAATGCTTTTTCTTTATTAATCACACTTCCAATTCCAAAATCATAACAAGTTCCAAGTTTAAATTGAGCATCCAAATATTCTTGATCAGCTGATTTATTATAATATTCAAAGGCTTTGATTTCATTTTTTTCAACTCCTATTCCAATTTCATAATATTTTCCTAAATTGAATTGTGCTATTTTACAACCATTTTCTGCCGCTTTATTATACCAATAAATGGATTTATTGAAATCTTTTTCAATCTTTTCTACTTTAAATTCATTTAAATAATAATAATCACCAATATTAGTTTGTGCATTTGAATTTCCACTTTTAGCAGCTTTCATATACCATTCAAACGCTTTATTATCATCTTTTGGTATTCCAATTCCATTTTTATAATAATTACCTAACATATTTTGTGCAAAAGAATATTCACCTTTAGCAGATTTTAAATACCATTCAAAAGATTTTCTATTATCTCTATTTACACCTATTCCATTTTGATAACAAGCACCTAAATTATATTTTGCATGCAAATTTCCTTCATTAGCAGCTTTAAAATAATATTCAAAAGCTTTTTTTTCATCTTTTATTACTCCAATACCATTTTGATAACAATAACCTAAATTATTTTGTGCATCAGAATTTCCACCTTCAGCTGATTTTAAATAAAATTCAAATGCTTTAAATTCATCTTTGTTTTTTCCTAATCCATATTGATAATAATAACCCAAATTATTTAATTTTATCAATTCCTTCTTTTTAATATAATCTAATTGATTTTGATTATTATTATTATAACCTTTATTTGATAATGATTCGAAATATTTTTCAATAATACTTATCTCATCTTTACATATATTTATTTCTAAACCATTAAAATTTTCAAATTGATTACTATAAGACATTACTTGTAAATTTTTTAAAGATTTAAATTCCATTGTAATTAAATTTCTTTTATATAAAATAATA